GTGCTCCAACTATAAAAGTCCTTTCCTAAAAAGACATTTATAATGCAAGGCGAAAATGACAGATGCTTATCTGCCCACCCTTGGGGTAGTTCGCCGGAGTGTAAAAATCACGTATCATATTGCAAAATTGAAGAATCGCCTAACATAGTTGAATTATTCTTGAAATCACTATTGCATCGGAGTTATGCTGGCGCAAATGATAGAATCGATCCAACTTCAACTGATCTCTTCAATACGGGTTACTCACCGATTTCTTACGATAGTCCCTGTGAAAGCCTCAGATACTGCGCCGCATAAATCTTCCACGCGTTCCACTCCGTGGAGTGTTTCCTTGGCAGCAAAGGAAACTCCTTCAATAAATTCGCCACGGCCGTTGGGTCCAGATCATTCTCTCTCCATGATCGAATCTTTTTTTTTTTCAACTCCGGTTCTTTCGAAGTTTTTTCATGAGGTCATCATCAAACCTGTTCAGGTTCTTCAGCGCCACTGCTTCGTTAATCGCCAACTTGGCCAGCAGGTCGTCAACGAATTGTAGTTGGGTTCCAGCCCTCTCCTCCTTTATGAAACCCAGACCGTCGCTATCATCCTCCGTGTCAACACCCCGAAGAAATCGCGTGGTCTTCGCAGAAGCAGCATCTATCGATTGCTTTGAATCAGGAGATCCCAGCATCGCAGCGTCACAACTGACAATGAGAGTAGCTGCAGCGACAAACACTATAATGGCCTGACGCATTGCGTTCTTGAGAAGTTGGAGGTGGTGAATCGGTGCTGGACGGCGAATTGAAAAGTGAGGAGCAATTCTAGGCGCGATGGTTGCGAGGAGGAGCATGTACGAGATACATGTGCATACTCCTATTGGTTTATAGCCGTCTAAACCGCAACAAATTCAATCTCAAATGTATCTTACGATTGTGACATAAATGTACTGCTATTAATACATGTGAACGGTCATAATTAACCGGTCATCGGTATCGATCGTTATTATGGTTGAGCTTATGAATTGTAAAAGGGATGGCCCACTACATTGCAGTCCGCCACCAGTTACTGTGTTAAGTTGAATATTTTTCGGGCGAGCTGCGTAATCGGTACCCACCTAATCGCACACACGTAAAACATGTATATCGTAAACGCACATCTACATGATGTCACCGGCGGAACTGCTATTATTTTTTTTTTTTTTTTTTTTTTGAGGTTGAAGATTTCATCGACAACGCGAGATTGCCGTTACAACGAGCTCGCTTGCACAAAATTGTAGCTCACGCCCCCTCTTTTTCTTCCAGTAATTCCTTGTTCCAGAAGAAAGCGGGTTTCGTGCTAAAGGATACGTTATTCGCTCAGGACTGATGAAGACTTTAAAATTTGTATACCTGTTATTTATTAGTCTAAAAGCTCCACAGGCTAAACACCGAACCGCATTCTAAAAAGCAAACCTAGTAACCTAGTCATGCACGTTACTTAGTAAGCTCGGAGGTACCGTATAGTTTCATTAATTGATCTAATAGCATCTTCACTGCATCCCGTCGTTCCTGTTAATAGGCAGATTGAGCGTCTCTAGATGCCAACAGCCGTGCCAATTCCATCACAAAAAAGCACAGCGATTCCTAAGTTCACAATTAACCGGTAACACTAGTGCGGCCTATCGTGGTAAAATTGTTTCATTTAGAATTAAGTGCCCGAGATCATCGAGCATAAAGTCCCAACTTAGATCGTCAAAACAAAATTAAGAGACAACTTGAAAGCTATCAATCTTCAAGTCAGCAGAAGTATATTGTTTTTATTGTTTACGATTATATGTATGTACTGGAAATTCTACTGGTAGCAGTCCGTATATATTGACGAGAACTAGTGGTTGGACTTTCGCACACAAGAATTCATGGTCTCTTCCTCACTCATGTCCAGAGTTCACTATTCTTGACCATTTTCAGGAATATCGTACGTTTTTGCCTACACGAACTACTACACGTAATAAATGATCACAAGATGTGCTGCATAGAGTAGAAGATTACGCAGACTGAGAGACCAAGCAAAATGCAATTCATTTATTAATGAAGATGTGTCCCGAGAAAGTGGCAGTCTCGAGGCTTTGGGTTCTTGGTCTAATGAAGACATCCCCGTCCAAAGGGGCCAGAATGGAAGTCTATGGTTGCCAGTGTAAATCCCGGTAGAAGCTGATTGCCACGCGTAGCGTAAGATTGTAAGCACCCAGCAGCGCGACATCAGCACCTCTTGCAAGAGATGATATTTGGGTCAGAAAGTTTAATCCGAGATTTTTTTTTTTTTACAGAATCACCTTTCCATGAATGCAACTTTGGTATGGGGACACTACTTGTTTATTGGCTCCTGGCAGCCCATTAGTAGGATGTGGCCGAGGCGGGTTAGCGAAACGATGCAATTTTGCGAATGAGCTGTCGGACCTAATATAACGCTGGCCCACCTATCCTCGTCCTCAGTCGATAAGATCGGGGAGACGACATTGGCATCACAGTCGCCATCCGGAAACCAAAAAATCATTAACAAATGTTCAACACATACCTACCCTGGCTGCAATATCACCATCAGGGCTTCTCGACTCTACCTCACACGACGACGCGACCATAGATGGCCTACGCCGAGCTCATAGAATAATTCCAACATCAAACAAAGTCAAGATGTTGAAAGGTTAACAATGACGCCACTACAGCAACCTCTACGATAAGGGGTCTCGAGATCAGTATCCTTAAAATGTAAAAACAACCGTTAGATATTGTGTCGACCTCGCCATTGCGGTGAAGGCATCCAGGACAGGCTCGCACAGTGGTCGACTTAGCGACGTCACGTGCTAAGTATGCTCTCTGCACCGTCAACAGGACTTAGCAGCTAATGCCACTAGGTTCACCGTTGCAGCTTCCCGTGCCACCTGAAACGTCGATGCCCGAGAATGTCCAGCCCGACACCACGTCCGAGTCAACCAGGATATCGTACACCTGGTCAGCTGAGCCCGTGAGACCGTCAATGGTGATATCTGTGATCGTCACCTTACTGGTAGCGGAGCCGGTGTAGCCTCCCTCCGACTTACTGTAGTCTCCATGAATCACGATTGCGTTCTCAACGTTCGACAATGTGTTGTCCATGTACGTGACGTCCGTGACCTCGCCGTAGTCGTCGATGATAGTCTTAATGCGAATGCCGTTGACGCTGTTGACGATTTTGTTATTTTTCACCGTCAGACCTGACACAGTATCAGACGAACTCACTGATGAACCTCCAATAGAACCAATGGAGATACCGTGGCCGCCACTGCATGTGTTACTAGAAAAGATAGTATTCGTGCTCGACTGCATTGCGAGACAGTCGTCCTGGTTGTAAATGGTGTTGCCAGATATCGTCACGCCGGTGTTCTTGCTCAGATCGAAGCCGTCGGTGTTCTTAGCTACATTGTCACCGTCACTAGAGTCCAGTGTTAAGCCACTTATCTTTGTAGACTCACAACTGAGGATACTGAAAGTGCGATATGGCGAGTTCTTGATAGTGAAGTCGGACACCGTGGACGAGATGACCTTGCTTATGCGGAAGAAGACGGGGCGATCGATGGATGTACCCTGTTCCCAGTACCAGTCTCCCTGGCCATCAAGAGTACCAGTTCCACCAACAGTCAGGTCCGTACCCGTTAGCAGGATAAGCGGTCCCTCCCATGTGGACGTCTCGAACGTTGTAGTACCGGTGAATTCGATGGTGGCGCCGTCCGCGACATCGCTTAGGTCCAATGTGACTCCAGCCGGGACAGTGAGCGAGCCAATGGTGATCTTGCTACATGAGGACACGTCCGTCCCGCTAGTGTAGGTGCCCGAGAGTGTGCAGCTGCTAGATGACTCATTCACTTGACGAATCATCGATGACGCATCAGAAGAAGCGACTAGCGCGAGGATAGTGAGGGCGAGGACTTTCATCGTTGAGGCTGGAATAGAGAGAGAAGACTGTGCTGATAAGAGTAAATTCCGGAATGAGATTAGGAATGGCAGGCGAGAAGGGCGAGCGCGCGGACGAGGTGAATCTACAGCATCGGTAGAGGTTTGCTCGCAGCGAGTAATCGCGTCGATATCTGGTTGACTCGCAGCGTTAGCATGATCTTAATGAGATAATTATGATAATCGATAGTTAACCTAGTGACGTTGACCAACTGGTGGGATCTACGATCGGTTGGGCATGGTCTTCTTTGTCATACCTGCTCAATACCACACGACACCAACGCACGTCGAAAATGAGTTCGATTTCGCCCTTCCGCTCCACAGAATTGGACCTTTCTGCGTTGGTGGCCGATGCAATCACGCTCTAATCAAGTTGTCAATGAACATGCAGGCTCATACGGTGGTAGCATTGAACCCGGTCTTTGCTTGCGTCGTCAAGGTGGTCATTCTTCGGCGATACATGTATCGAGCGGTTTTCCGAATAAATTCATTCAATTCAGCCAATTGATGGAGCTCTACGAAATGCAACCGCCAGGAGGCTTTCGTAGGCTCGTGAAATTTCGGGATAGACTTTGGTGTTGGGCTCGAAAGCATCAGGAATGCTGGTTTGAATCGAACGGTGGGTGTGTAAGAATTTGTTTGCGAATACTGTTGAAGCTTCGGGTGGCCGCACTCCGCTGTAACGGTGTCTGACGGGCAAGTGGACACATGTGGTATACCATTGCTCAAGATGTGTTTGGAGCGGGGAACCCTACGCATGAGTCGGTCTATCCATCTGGACCTTGGTCAACGCTGCGAAGAATGCCTTGGCCATCTTGGGCAACCGCCTGGAGATGCAGTCGGCATGGACGTTTATGGAATACACGGTCTTCCAGCCGCGAAGGTTGGGTTACTTGTATCTAAAGGTGCACCATTACACTTCAGGATTCGACGCTTGAGGAATCGACTACATTTACTTAATGATGATCACGTCATCGCTATATCAATATTGAAGAGCGCCGACATCGTGAAATTCTACGTCGTTTAAATGTGTGGGGGTGATATACATCTCGCTAATCGTTTGAACAGAAGTGATCCATAAACACATACATGGCGAAATGTGAATCACCACCTCGGCAACGACTTTATCAGCTCATCTTCGTTGTATACGACACCACGACGACGGTCTGTACATGTAGAGCATTGCCTGGATAGACATGGTGTTGGTAGATGCAAATTGGGGTATGTTTCGTTGATGTATACATGCCGTAGCCGTACCTAGCCTACATGCACTGACGTGACAGCAAGGCTACATGTTTGGTGTCTTGAGCTTAAACATACTGGGAACTGGACACAAAAGCTCGATCTATTTAACTCACGTCGGCAACTCGTAGCAACAATGTTTATATGTTGTTTATGACTGACATATATGGTCCAGTAGCTGACGTTGCCGCTATTCTACTGAACACGGTATTAAACTTCACAAGAAAATCTACCAAGAAGAGAAAATCTCAAACACTTAGCAGTTGACGCTGCTCGGTTCGCCACTGCAGCTGCCCGTGGAGCCCGAGACGTCAATACCGGAAAACGTCCAACCAGACACATACTTGGAATTAACCAGAATATCGTAGATCTGGTCGGCCGAACCCGTGAGACCGTCAATTGTGATGTCCGTGATGTAGACCTTACTACTGGCCGTGCCAGTGTAACCTCCCTTTGACTTGCTGTAGTCGCCATGGATCACGATCGCGTTCTCAACGTTCGACAGCGTGTTGCCCGTGTAGGTAACGTCGGTCACCTTACCGGTTAAGTCGATAATTGTCTTGATCCGGATACCGTTAACACTGTCGACGATCTTGTTGTTCTTCACCGTCAGACCCGATACAGTGTCCGATGAACTGATGGAAGAACCACCAATAGAGCCGATCGAGATACCGTGGCCACCGCTGCACGTGTTGGAACTGAAGACAGTATTGGTGCTTGACTGCATGGCAAGACAGTCGTCCTGGTTGTAGATTTTACAGCCAGTAATGGTGATGTCAGTGTTCTTGCTCAAGTCGAAGCCATCTGTGTTCTTAGCGAGGTCATCACCGTCGCTGGAGTCAAGAGTTAACCCACTGATGGTGGTCGATTGGGAGCTCAAGATACTGAAAGTACGGTACGGCGAATTCTTGATCATGAAGCCCTTGACAGTGGATGAGATGACCTTGCTCATCCTGAAGAACACGGGGCGTGTGATAGACGTGCCCTGTTTCCAGTACCAGGCACCCTGGCCGTCCAGAGTGCCAGAGCCACTTACAGACAGCTTGGTACCTGTCAGGAGGACAAGGGGTCCAGACCATTTCTGTTTGTATGTGCAGGATAGCAAGTTAGTAGATATATTGGCATCAGTATTATACAAATGAGCTTACCTTCGTGCCAAAGGTGGTGGTGCCGGAGAAGACTACGTTGGCGCCGGATTTTAGGTCGCTCAGGTCGAGTGTAACACCCGCGGGCACCGTTAACGACTTGATGGAGACTGTACTGCATGAAGACACATCGGTACCGCTCGTGTAGGTTCCCGACAGAGTACAGCTACTTGACTCAGCTTCCTCGGCCTCCTGGCGGATCGTGGGGGTACTGCTGACAGCTGCAAGCATCAGTGCGCCGGCAGCAAAGCTGCGGTGAGAAGCTTCATGGTAGACTGGGTGGTTGTTGCTAGATTGGTGCAGAGCAAATTGTGGAATGGCTTTGGGACCGAGGAGGACACGCACAACCATGGGTGAAGTGCACTAGCCTTTGACTACACTGCATCACGCTGACTCCTTGCCTATCAAGCAGCATATCACGCACCAAGCTGTTATCCGAGACCATTCAGCGTTCACGTCCACACTGTGGACTCCACAGACAGCAGGATACTTCAACAATTGTGTTGACCGCGATCTGCCCGGCACTTGAGGAGTCAGCGTCTCGTAGGTTGGCGTCCCGATCATCACAAGCGGACGCCTGGCACCAAGGTACAAAAAACATCTACTTATTCAACGTTGCTTGCACACCGACTCCAGCTCGTGCGTTCTAATTACCAAATCTTTGGGAGTGTGGTGCTTGGTAGTTGATGTAGCCTCCGAACGATCACTCTAAAGCAACTTCGGCTGCCGAAGCACGCGACTATCAAAAACAATCACTCCGATCTGAGCCGGAGCAAGTGGTACATTTATCGCTCGTTCGCATGAGCGCAAATGAATCAGAGATTTCACCAGCAGCAGCTGGCAACGTATGGACCAAGCTGTGCTTTCGTCTACATTTTGTAGACCAGTTGAGGTCAGTACAGCAAAAGACATCAACGAGTTTTAGATTCAAGCTTTTCAAATCCAGTTGAGCTGTAGCGATGTCAACCAAGTAATTACTGGTGTACCAAATTCGCTTCCTCAGTCAGTGAATATTATCTACCCAATCCACTAGTACTTTTTGAATCGTTTAATTATGTGAAAAGCGGCTCCAGCTCAGCAGTCGTGTTGGCAGTCACTGCCAGTCTCACCACCGCGCCAAGAAGCGTATCTAGACTCTGCCATTCGCCTGCTAACGTAAGGTCCTCCTGTAATCGCGCGATCTCTCTCAACTCTGTTGTATCTGCTGTCTTCTCTAAGAAATCGTATTTGTCTACGTGGAAACCGGCCACGTCTCGAAGCTTACCAGCAAGTGACGACGTTACTTTCTCCGTCAGCAAATCGTGCAGCGCGTCGAACTCAAATAAATTGGAAGAGGCTACTGCGACGCCGTCCATGATGGTCGAAGGTTTCGTCTTGTTGCCATCGGCCTGATGCTCTTCCAGATATTTCTCGACCACAATTTGTCCCACTGCTTCGCCTAGCGTCATCTGGTGGAGCTTTGGGTCGTTCTGTTCCACCATTTCGATCATTTTCTGCTCTAAATACTCGATAAATGGGTGTCCTGGTGGTGCCTGCATCAAATGCAGTCCCATAATAAACGCTTCCTTCCCTCTCGCCTGACTAGTCACTACGATCTCGTCCTGTATGTCCACGCCGATCCCTCTCAATAGGAATGTGTTGAAGTCACTGAAAGCCACGCCGCCGTGTTTCTTGAGTGCACGCAGCATGAGTAATACTTCGACAATATGTCGCCTCTCCTGTCTATTCAAGTACGGAGGTCCAGCCTTGTGCATGGCGTCGAAGGATACAGGGGGTAGAACCTTGTGTAGCCCCAAGTGACGCTGGCATTGCGTGTACCAGACACCGCGCGGAGTCTCCAAGTAGTGCATCATCATCGTGTCGGGTCGGAGGACGCGTCGGACGGACTGCAGCGCTGCAAACTGTAAGTACGTGAACTGTTCCCTGTCCGTCTCGAGCTCGCCGTCCCAGATCGGGATAGCGTCCAGCGCCACGTTAATGAAGTGTACGAGACGCAACCCCCTCGTAATTTTAGGTGGTTTGGACGCATTTTGTACCCCGCAGCGTATCTGTAGCGTGCGGAGAGTATCAGGTCGTAAGAATTCCTGACTGTCGATGCCTAGACACGAGTCGGCGGGCGGCAGAGCGGCCCTAAAATGACGCTCCGAGGACAGTGCGCGCTGGTAATCGAAGATAACGAAGTTATACATGAGAAGCGGCACCGCAACGAGGAAGACCAACAGGAACAGCAAGGGGCGTAGATTTCGTAGGCGCGGTAACATAGTGCACTGGACTATGGTGTGTGGCACATTAAATATTGTTTTTACTCAATAAATATAGCGTTAAAAAATACGAGCTTATTTACATTTAAGAAAACGATTCAAATTAACGTTTCTTTTAATTTAAGAAGCGTTAAATTGAAATTGCACCTTTTTTTTAGAAATGGAATGTAGACGATCACTACCCCGGATGCAGCCGTGCTGGTGTACCGAGACCGTGAATGATGTAAGCGGGGCCCAGATAAAAGACGATAGAACCGCAAAATAGCAAAAGTAGATTAAGCGTCGACGATCACATGCTTAAAAAATAAAAAAAACGAAAACTCATTCTACTCAGTACAGTACATGTACGGGTGTTGTGTACTACATGTATGTAGTGTTGGAATGAAATAGTACATAACACGCGTACGTAGCACATGTAGTGTTTAAATGAAATGTGCTGCCCCATTCCACTCTCAGACCTCCTTCACCTGGTGCTTCCGTGTTTCCTAGCCCCAAGCGCTTGAGCTGTGCTTTATTTGCTGGAAGGACTTCTCCAGAAATACTGTCATAGCAACAAAATGTGATCGCACGCACGCGATATGAAGTAGCTCACTCAAATCTATTTCCCTGACTCATCGTTGCTAAACGAATCTAGTGTGTCTCGACTCGTTTCAGTAAGATTGGGTAGATGCATCGCCTCGGAAAAGAATAAAGATATTTCTATAGGTCAGATGAGATGATACCACTTTTCATTGGCCATACTTAGAGGTATGACTTGCCGATGCCAATGGCAATTTGTTTAACAAGTGATACCATTCGGCTGGCCCTTACAAGTGCCCTTCGCACCCGACACGGTGATACCCTTAAACGTCCACCCCGACACCGCGCTCGGGTTCACGACAATGTCATATATCTGGTCCGCCGAACCCGTGAGACCGTCGACCGTAATGTCCGAAATCGTCACCAGACTGGTAGGCGCTCCCGTGTAGGCACCAGCGGATCTGCTGTAGTCCGAGTGGATCGCGATGGCGTTCTCCACGTTCTCGAGCTTGTTGTTGATGTACTTGACGTTCGTGACCAAGCCCTTCATACCAATGATTGCCTTGATACGAAGACCATTGTCACTGTTCTGAATGGTGTTACCCTGAACGGTAAGACCGGATACAGTCGTGGTCTCGTCAACTGCGTTGCCGCCAATGGAACCGACCGAGATACCGTGACTTCCGCTGCAAAGGTTGTTGCTGAAGATCGTGTTGGTACTGGACTGCATAGCGAGACAGTCGTCTTGGTTGTAGATCTTGTTGCCGGTGATAGTGACGTGGTCGTTCTTGGTCATGTCGAAGCCGTCCGTATTTTGAGCACGGCCATTTCCAGCACTCGAGTCGAGCGTCAGTCCACTCAGCGTTGTCTGCTGGCACGTGACAATGCTGAACGTGCGGAAAGGCGAATTCTTTACCGTGAAGCCCGAAATGTTCGAGCCAACAACGTTTTGCAGCTTCACGAAGACGGGACGGGTGATCGACTCGCCCTGTTTCCAGTACCAGTCTCCCTGACCATCCAGTGTTCCGGAGCCCTTGACTGTAAGGGAGTTGCCACTGATAGACAGGAGAGGGCCAGCCCATTTCTGAGTACCGAAGGTAACGGTGCCGGCGATGTTGATGGTGGCTCCGTTCTTAGCCTTGCTCAGGTCTAGCGTGACTCCAGCAGGAACAGTGAGAGTTCCGACTGTGATGGTACTGCACGACGAGATGTCGGTGCCAGGCTGGTACGTGCCAGTGAGGTTGCACGGGTCACCGGCCTCGGCCTCTTGGCGGATCATGGGCGAACCAGAAGCACAGACAGAGAGGAGTGCAAGGGCGAGAGTTGACGTGAAGAGCTTCATCGTGAGCTGGGGGTGACTGTGTTGATCCGATGGAAATAGTAGAATGAACTCGATGACAGAGAAGCTGAGGAATACACGCGACCCTGGTTTTCTAGGGCAGTAAACCTTGGTGAGTCAGGCTTTTGAGAACAGCACCTGGCACCGAAACGGGATGTGCCGTTGGACTTCGTTCAACGAGTCGTGCCAAATTGCACGATTGCGGCCATACGCAGGGGCACGCATGCTGATGGTCGAAGTTAATGTGAATTCCGTTAAGTCGTTTGGCTACAAACTGTAGCCGCCCACGAGCGCGCAAATCAAGGTCCGCCTACGTGAGGTGGTGAACCAGTACATCTCGTTCGCACGTATGGCCAGTCTTCAACTTTCATCAGCAACAACTGGTTCTGCTGAAACAGCAAGTTGTTCGCTCGAAGTGGAGTCTCGAAATTCTGAATGGTGTAGCTTCCTCGCAGCAAAAGCTACAACGTTCTAACAAGCTTCATGCAAGAACAATGGGGCTATAACGTTGGTAGATTGAAGGGGGTTGTTATACCTGTCCTTCTACTAACCTGTGCGTCGTTACCAAGCACCACACTGCTATGTGCCGTTCTTACATTAGTCGTTTAATCGCTACAGGATCACGTTCGTGTGGTCGGATTACCGGTGCGATCTGCTGTGGTTATTCGAAATTGTTGAAAGCACGTCGCTAAATAGGAGCACTGGACACCAGCCAGGCCTTGCCTGTACAGATTCAAATGGAAGCAACATTGTGGCGCGTTAAATTGTTTTAAAAAAAAAAAGTTGCTGCTTTACGCTACTCTCGAGCATCTGCCGCTCATTCTGCTACAGACCAATGACCCCTGCTTGGAACTGGTACGGTTTCATCTAGCAGGTGATGCCACTCGGCTGGCCCTTGCAGACACCCTTTGCACCAGATACACTGATACCTGAGAACTTCCAGTTCGACACCACCTTGGGGTTCACCACGATGTCATAGATGTTCTGGGCTGAGCCAGTAAGTCCGTCAACGGTGATGTCCGTGATGGTAACCAGACTAGTAGGTGCACCAGAGTAGGCTCCCTTGGATCGACTGTAGTCCGAGTGGATGGCAATAGCGTTCTCCACGTTCTCGAGCTTGTTGTTGATGTACTTGACGTTGGAAACCAATCCCTTTAATCCAATCACAGTCTTGATACGAAGACCGTTGTCACTGTTAACGATAGTGTTGCCCTCAACAGTAAGACCCGTGACCGTCGTCGACTGGTCCACAGCATTACCACCTAGGGATCCAATGGAGATACCGTGGCTGCCACTGCAGTAATTGTTCCGGAAGAACGTGTTGGTGCTCGACTGCATGGCCAAACAGTCATCCTGGTTGAAGATCTTGTTGCCCGAAATGGTAACGTGGTCGTTCTTGGTTAACCCAAAGCCGTCCGTGTTCTTGGCAATGCCATTACCGGAGCTGGAGTCGAGCGTAAGACCAGAGATAGTCGTATCCCGGCTGGTGACGATGCTGAACGTGCGGAACGGCGAGTTCTTCAGCGTGAAGCCCGACACTGTGGAACCAACGACGTTCTGAAGCTTGAAGAATACAGGGCGTGTGATGGAAGTGCCTTGCTTCCAGTACCAAGAGCCCTGGCCATCGAGCGTACCGGAGCCTTGAACGGTTAGAGAGTTGCCGCTCACACGCACCAGCGGACCATCCCACTTAGCAGTACCGAAGGTAGTGGTGCCTGTGAAGGTGATGGTAGCGCCATTCTTGGTCCGACTCAAGTCCAACGTGACTCCGGCAGGGACAGTCAGAGGCCCCACAGTGACAGAACTGCAGGAAGAGATGTCGGTACCTGCCTTGTAGGTGCCAGTGAGGTTGCACGGGCCACCGGCTTCCGCCTCCTGACGCATCATCGGCGATCCATTGGCACCAGCAGCAAGGAGTGCGAGCACGGCGAATGCGGTGGAGAAGAGCTTCATGGTCTTTATCTTGATAGTGTTGCGCCGGTGGCAAATTCGAAAGTGAGGACAGGTTGCGGCTTAGT